CAGCTGGAGTACTGCATCCAGTTTTGGGCTTCACAATTCAAAAAGGATGCAGAGAAGCTTAAGAAAGTCCACAGAAAAGCCACAAGCATGATCAGAGGTCAGAAAAACAGACCTTATGATGACTGGCTGAGAGCCATGGGGCTCTTTAGCCTGGAAAAAAGTGCAGGCTCGGGGGTGACCTGATGGCCACCTATAAGTTTAATCAGGGGTGACTACCAGTATCTGGGGAATGTTTGTTCACCAGAGCACCCCAAAGGATGACTAGGTCGAACTGTTATAAACTACTGCAAGACCATTTCAGGCTGGACATAAGGAAGAATTTCTTTACTGTTCGATCCCCAAGGTCTGGAACAGCCTGCCATCGGAGGTGGTTCAAGCACCTACATTGAACACCTTCAAGAATAGATTGGATGCTTATCTTGCTGGGGTCCTATGACCCCAGCTGACTTCCTGCCCTTTGGGCTGGGGGCTGGACTCGATCTTCTGAGGTCCCTTCCAGCCCTAACGTCTATGAAATGTATGAAATCTACTAATAGTGAACTAGGGCTTGCTTTGGGACCCTGGGGCAGCCTTCCTTTTCAAGAATCAGTAATTCATCAAGGTGTGGCAGGCAGAAGAGAGAGGATATGGAATAGGGTAGAAATTGCAAGGAGGGGGGAAGAAGTTGTTTTCATGGCTGTCCCTGGGACTTGGTCCTGCTACAGTGGGTTCTAGGAAAATCTATTTTAACAAAAACTTGTTCTTATGGTTAAAAAAAAAAGTATTAAATCACTACTTAATCGTTATACTAATGAAAAATCTGTAAGGTATAGCCAGTAGATGCTGACAACTGAGGAAATTTAAAAATCAGAGTAAATCATTGAAAGATTCATTAGAACTACTGTGTGATTCTACACAGTTGTTTTAAAGAGGTTTTTTTCCCCCCCCACACACACTTCACAACTTGGTATTTCATGGAAATGAGAAGGGGATAAGGTCCTAATAGTAGGATTCCAGGAGCTGACCTAATTCAGAGTAATAGTTTCTGATGAATTTGCCTGAAGCATAAAGAACAACAGGTTTGGATGTTCTGCATAGTCATCTTTATGCCATTTATTTGCCCATGCTGGGGGCAGATTCACATAATATACCCCTATAATCTAAAGATTTTAGAAACCTGACTATTTTCTTTTACTGAATGAGAAGCACCAAAAAAGATAAACAGAATGTGCCTTGACCTCTGTTTTCAATTATACATCCTACAGTGCGGGTTTTATTTCCAGTTAACCAATTTAGAAATGTTTCATTACAGAAAATAAGACCTCTGCATTTCCTGGAGGGCCATTTAAACAAAAACTCAACAATGAGCCTTATGAAGAAAGAAATATAAAACCAAGACATTACTATCCCAATCCATGTAACAGGGTTTAACTGTTTCGGCAGTCTAATCCCAGATTTGTATTCATTCCAAATATGTCACTGGTAAAATGAAGGCCGTGTAGAGTTGCACCTTGTAAACTAACTGGTAAAACAGGTTAGGAATAGTGCCTCCTATATTCAGTTCAGGAGACTGGAGTAGATGGACCCTGCAGCATCTTCTGACCCCATGATTCCGTGATAAACCAACTATACTTCTGCTTCCCATGCATTCAGACTTCCTAGACTTTCCCAGTAAGAGGAAAAAAGTTACGGTAACTGGAGTTCTTTGTGCTGCATTGTCTATATCTGAGCAGGCAAAATACAGCCCACAGGCCACATCTGGCCTGCAGAAAGGTGCCTATCAATTCACTCTATCCAGTTTGGCCCTGGGCTACCCCTACTGTGCTCTCATGGGGCCAAGTCCCACTCACTCCTGGCAGGGCAGTGTGCATGCTGCATTCCTACCCTTGCTCGCAGGATGGCCCTGGCCCCAGCCCCACAGGCAGGGAAGCAGCGGGGGGTGGAGAAGGGAGGTGGAAGTGGTAGCAACAGCAGCAGCAAAGTTGGGGGGAGGGGGGGAGTGCAGCCACAGCAGGTGGGCAGAAAGGTAGGAAAGCAGCTGGCGTGGCGGCAGTGGATACAAGCAAAGCAGCAGCTGGGCAGGAGTATAGGGCCCACCCCAGGGCTGGAGCTGGTGGGGGCCGAGGCTGAGGCAGCATTGGTGTGCAGCCTGGGCTAGCAGGGATGAAGGGTCCACCGGGCTCCCTTGTGCAGGGCTCCCCGGGGCTTGCATGCAGTTCCTAGGTTCTCCACCTGAGCTGCACACCTCCATAGCCCCACGCAATGGAACAGATGGCCTGGAACCACTCACTGCCATGCACAGGTCACGGGAAACAACAGGGAGCTCCATATTGTGAAGCTGGGCCAGCACCACCCATCTCCCTGGCACTGTGACCAAGCCCTACGACCTACACCACCAGTTTCATTGCGCAGGGCTCAAACATGTGAGCACTGCACAATGGAACTGCCAGCCTGGCCACACAAAGTCCTGGGGCTCACCAGGACCAGGTACCTCCAGGGGACTGCATCTGCCGTGGTCCATGAGTGCCCTAAAGGCCCACTGCATGCTGCTGCTCACAACAGGGGCTGTGCGCAACGGGGGGTACTGTTTGTAGGGGAGGGCTCCTCATACATACACCCGCTGTCCCCTACAAACCCCATACCCCCCAATACACCCCTCCCACACACAATATACAACAGAGAGACTTCATTTTGAGTGATTATGCAAATCACCTCTACATACACTATGTAAATGCACACAAATCGGGACAACAATCTATATATATTTAAAATAAAATTAAAATATATTACCATAGATGTTTGCTTTATCAGTACCCATTAAGTAACATGCACCCTGCTCTATACCACAA